ACCAATGCAGCTCTTCATTGCTCCTGTGAGGCGTGTTCTTCTTTATATTGAAAAGAGAAGACTAATAAGAGGATATATATTTCACAGTGTGAAATTTATTATGCATTAACGTATCAAAATTAGCATGTATACATGGATCTTCACTGTTTAGGATAAACAGAAAACACTGACCTCAACTTAGTGGTATACAATATTTGTATTAAAAGGTGCTACTATCTAATTGGTCAAAAACTGTTGGGGAGAAGCCGTGGTTTAGACTTAACTCTCCCGTTATTGGTCCTTCAGTCCGTCCGTCCTCCAATCGTCCTCTCTGCTCCAATCATCATGGACAGTGCCCTAGGAAGGGGAAGAATACCTATACTACTTTAATTCCTACATACACACTCGCTTCTTCCTTTGGTTTCAACTAACTGCTCCATATTACGCATTGCTTTCCGTTTCAATTAAACTGTTCTGCCTGCGTGTGAGTGTGCATAACTGTTCTCCCTTTGAAGCTTTCTCATCTACGTCTAATCTATTTTAATAAACTTGGAGCCTTACCGTACCAAGACTCCTTTGGGTCCACCGGTCCAGAGGAACGATAAGTAACTATGAGCCCCCTTAGCTACAGCCATAAATCTAATGAAATTCAGTAATTTAGTGGACAAGACTTATGATGTTGCATTAGTGTTTCAGTGACTCACACAGCAAATATTTGACCAGTGGTTCAGTTCCTAAGGATGCCAGCTGTTAAAAGGTTGTAAGGCCACCATCTACAAAGTGTGACATGCTTCCTTTAGGAAAAAAGATGCAGATCAAGACCTTTATAATCTACTTAGTTAATGGGACAAGAGAAGTGACCTCTAAACAGAAGTAAATGATAATTAAAAGGGGAAGTGCTAATACAACTAGAAAGAGTATTTGGGGAAATGTGGATTTACAGGGTTAAATGAGAATTAGAGACCGGACACGGTGACCACAGCACTGAATATGCTACAAATAGCAATCCCCGTATTAACCTAGACAACAGGAAGAAATGTTTTTGACGTTTCCTCCAGTGTATGGGAGGGATCTCTGTGTGACCGAAACACAGATCAACGCGTGGAGGGCCGAGTATGTAGGTGGGACAAGAGGAAGCAGCTAGCATGGATATGCTCACTGTTCACAAATACACACACACACATTACTTTGTCAACGCACTGACCAAAAATTGTGAACACAAAAGTGCAAGTAACATACCGACATGCGAGTTTCAATTTCACACGTTTCTAGCCTCTAAGGCTTTTCATACATTCTAGCAGCCCTGAAGTGTATTAAGAAATAAACACATTGCATTGGACTTGTTTGAGCTGTACACATTTAAATTAATGAATCCTGCAAAACAGGTTATATATGATTAAACAAGAAGAAATATTAAGGCTCTCAAACATGAAAGATTTTAATGCTGTTCATGACCAGACAGACACATACAAACAGTATCAGCTACCACTATAATAAGGAAAAAGACACTTGAAGCCAAATAAATAATAGTGCAGATCTGTTATATGTGATTAACTTATGTAATTTCTCTTGGTCACTAAAGTAAGAGATCATAAAACACTGTCAGCTGCTGATCATAAAGATGTAAAGTTGATATCTTTAAAAAAATTAATTTGAGGAAGTGGTGCTTCTCTTTATATCTACAAAACCAGTGTCAGAGCAAAAAAAAATACCACCCCCCCAACCCCATTAAAAAGTAAAACAGGCAGTAAAACAGCCTCCTTACCTTAAAACTGCTATTTGCTCAAATTCTTTAGTGTAAATCTTGACAAGCATGTGTAGTACCCACAGCATTTTCAAAGTACTGTATTTGCTTTTCTATTAGATATTTCAAACTGTTTTTGTGCACCCAATTCTAGAACTAACTCCCATAAAAACTAAAATGAAGTGAAAAAACACATGCTAGTTTGTCTTCTAGCTAAATCTTACTCGACAGGCATTACAGTAGTATGCAGATACTGTTGCTTCAGGACCTGGGCTAGATGGTAAAACATGTAAACTTAGTGACAGAGAGGGACTGTGGCTGCTCCCTGCCAGGGGGTCATCATACTGTATTTAATTCAGCGCAGTTTTCATGCCGGATCCCATCCTGACTCAAGTTAAGAGTCACCAGTCAACCTAAGCTGGATGTCTCTGGGCTAGGGGAGGAAGCTGGAGTATCCAGAGAGAACCCACGCAGCAATGGGGAGACATACAAACTCCACTCAGAAAAGGTCTCGGTCGGCCATGAGGTTCAAAGGTGGAACCTTCTTGCTGTTAAGTTTAGTCCAGCGTGGACGTATCTAACATTTGTTCAGTGGAGACAGCCCTACAGTACATAGACTATAGACTAAAGGCTATAGTTTTAGTTTGTCAGATTGTGGACGGGGTTATTTTGAACCTGAGGATGGACTGATACTCATCATCATCATCTCTCCCTTTATCTATCTCTGTCACAGTAATACCTTCCCTGTCTGAAGACTGTGGAATTATAATTGCAAAAAAGTTAATCTTACAGAAACTGTACCCACTCATCAGTGGTCAAAAGAAATGACAAACACTATTGTAATCTGGAGAGACTGAGACAAGGCAGATGTTTCCAGTAAAACCTGGAAACCTGTACTGAAACCTTTTCACAGTGAACACTAATGCCCTGTGCCCAGTGGAAAACACCTGACTAAGTAAATCTTTGGTCATTTATTTCACCTTAACTGTTTTTTATGTCCCTATAAAACAGACATATACAGTACGTCTTAAAAACTAGATGATTAAAAGCTCAGTTACCGTGTACGTGGCCAACCAGGCATCAGGTTACAGCAGAAAGCCAACTGTATTTTGTCATGTAAGGGTACAGATTTGCATTGACAAAGTTCAAAGAACTTTAGACAAAGAAATGCAGTGTACTGTATCTATGTAAGAAAATCTACGAGATCATCTCAGGCTCATCTCCCTCTCACACCATCTTGTCTTCATGCTCAGTGGACAAGTAGAGGGGCTGTGGTCAGCTGCAGGTTCAATCCCCTGAGAGGTGAGAAGGGAGGCAGGGCTTCGTAGCCCAACAGCTGCCGGGTGGGTGGCTCCCTACTGATGTCATTTTTCATGACAAGGTGCTATTGTCATATTTCCTGTATTTCATGGCTCCAGCTCCTCAGATATGAGGAAGCTAAGTGGAGTCTTACTCAAGTAAAGTATCTGAATACTTCATCCTCCACTTCTGAAGATGTATTTTGGCTGCACGTTGAACCTTTGAGACCAGACTAAGGATGTGTTTTTAAAAATACACAGAAAGGCATTTATTTTACATTGCTTTACATTGTTGTGACTAGCTGAGGACCGACCTGGGCTGAGAGGAGTCATCAAGGCGAAAGAGGGTGTGCAGCAGTTTACCTTCCTCCAGCTTCTCCACCCTCATCAGCTGCAGAACCAGGAAAGTCGCCAGCAACCTCAGGATATCTACATGGGCCCTCACACCTGCACAACACACATGGTTTTAACATTGGTGGGAACCAAAGCTCCAGTCCTGGTTGAGATGTCTGTACCAGTTATTAACAACAGGCCACACTGACAAAACCGAACCGTTTTCACTATGTCACAACTTCACAAGTACAGAAGATCCCACTACAAACCGGCCACAGTAACATTTACTACATAGGAAAAGATGATATTCATGTGCTTTTTACAATCTAGGCCAAAAGTATACTGGCTAATGATGCTAATAAAGCATAACCTGTGTCCTCATATTTTTAGTTTCACACAATGAAATTGGAAAATTGGGGCCAGCTTTCAGGTAATGGTAGTATTTCTAGTAAAATGTCTTGGTATGCTGAGGCATTAAGAGTTCCTTTCACTGGAACTAAGGGGCCAAGCCCAGCTCCTGAAAGACAACCCCACATCATAATCCCCCCTCCACCAAACTTTACACTTGACACAATGCAGTCAGACAGGTACCGTTCTCCTGGCAACCACCAAACCCAGACTCGTCCATGGGATTGCCAGACAGAGAAGCGTGTTCTGATTCTGATTATCCAGATTATTATTGATTATCTTCACTCATGACAACAGGTACAGAGGAGATGAGTACATCTGGATAAAGTTATACTCTGTGGGTCTCTTTAAATCTGTCACAACTTCTAAAGAGAAATGAACACAGACATTTTACTTCTTAGGAAGCTCCTTGTAGTGGGGTTTTCATTTACTGCTCAGAGAGTAAGCGTGCATACTGGTGTTCATACTATTCCTTATGTCACTGACAAAAACATTAACCCTAGTGTCTTTGGTCTGCTGATATACTTTATCTAAAAATAATCCTATGTGTTGAAAACTAATTTTGTTTTCTACCAGCAAAATGAGAAGTGATACAAGGGTTTTCTTATTTTAATGCCAGGTCTTCTACAGATTCAGAGAGTGCTATGGACGAAACACAATGCAAGTTTTCTTGTCATTTGTAGAGAGAATATTCACATTTACTTTAAAGTGTAAAGAGAGATTTTAAAGTACTTACATTTTAAAACTACAAATCATGCCAATGAATTCTCCAACATTTGTTTAAGTTCATATATAATGTCATATGTTTACTTTGTTGTTTTATTCCAGGCTCTGAGGACTTTTGTAAACAAGGGCTTTCAGTTGGTGATTTTTAACACATTTTATGTTAAACTGTGGACTAAGCAACTTATTTTTTATTAATTTGTTAAGACAAATTGTAGACAAAGTGCTGATCACTAGAACTCCAGAACAACATCTGAAGAAAAACTAAATCAAAGATGTCACAGGAATGAGAGAAACCTCCAGTTTAATATAAATGGATGTTTGTGCCATTTCTCTTTGGTCTGTCCTCCTGAATCTCTGAGGTCACGTAGCCCGAACATCCAGGTCCTTCATCTGTTTCCTAGACATTTCAGGGTTTTAGTGATCTAGTTAAAACATTTCAAGCAGACTCATAGTCATCTCAGACAAATTTGCAAATGAGGTTTAAATGTTTATTTGATGCACACATTCCTGATATACTGTGAACAAAGCATCATGTAACAAGTGCACTCAGACAGCACATGTACCTCCACCAAGACAACATTCACTCACGCTAATGGGTCCCTTGTGAACAATGAGATCCAGAACAACACAAAATGTGCCCTAAAATCCTTGATCCAGGTCAAATCCTGATCATCTTTTAGGGTATGATAGGCAGTAATACTGTGCATCTTACCAAAACATTTCAGGGATCTATTGTCATCATAAACCATGTTTTGGCAGAAAATATGCATTAAATGGAGTTTTCAATGCTAACTTTAAATGGCCGTCAGATCCAGAAACCGGATCACATCAGTTCCAGATGACATTGCCACCCTACATATGTGTATCAAATTCCAGATTTTATTTTTTGTGACCTTTGACCTTTGACCTTTTTCATCCAAAATCCAGTCACTTCTATCATTGGTCCCCACCAGTATCTGTACCAGGTGCTGATGATCCATCCAGCTGTTTGTCCGTTATCCTGCTGACCAACACACATGCGGAACCAAAAACAACCTTCTTGGTGGAGGTAATGAAGCAGAACAGATGAACACTGGCTCCATCACTGACCTGTGAACCAGCTAGAAACCAAATATTTTTGTACTGCAGTCCTGTTACAGCACAGTATTAAGTCCAATACAACACATACAGTTTGCTTGCTATAGAAATACTTAATAAGTTACTTAGACAAGCACAGATTACTGGTTGTATTGCCAACAAAGGCTTTATATGAGAGATGGTTTTGAGGATTAGAATGAACTGCTGAGTTTGTCAAAACAAAACCAACCTGAAAATCGTTATATTTTCCTTTTAAAAAAATATTTTCATCATCTAGAAGCTGGAAAATTTAGACGAGTGGAAAGTTTGAGGCGTTTTATGATCATCTCTGGCTTTATTTCAAGACTGCACTCTGGTGTTTAGAGACAGCTGGGATTTAGGACAGTTAGACTTCAGCACAAGCAAACACACACAAGAACACTTATTACTAAAAGCTTTGAACAATCCTGGCTTATATTGTAAAAACATTTGCAAATATATGATCAAACAATACAGACATGTTAAGGTGTTTTTTCACAGATCCACTGCAGAGAGGTTGTACATGAACGATCATTCCAGGAAGTGTTATCTTCTTCATAAATATGTACACAGTCCTCTTCACCCCACTGTGGGTCTCCACCACCATTATCAGGCTGGTTTCTCGCCCAGGACCTAGCAGGTCAGTGAGCAACAGAATCATGATGCTTGAACTTTCAATAAGTCGTCTGAATAACAAACCTCACAGACAAAAGTAAAAGTTTTAGGGTAAAATACAACTCTGTGGGGCACTTTAATCTCTTTTACCTCATTTGTTTTCTGTATAGTTCAGACTAACAGCTTCATTTCCAGCACTGTTTTCAGTAAAACAAGCTGATAAACACATTGTACACTACTAGCACCAAATGTCACATGGATATACTGGCTGGCCAGCTGGTGAAGGAAAAGAAGATGATAACGGCTCAAACTGTTAGAAAGTGACACAGATGGACAGAAACCCAAATCAAATATTGGTCTGTGTCTCCTGGATGTTTTGCCATAAAATGTTTAAGAGCTGTGACTTTAGTAACTTGCTGCCCTCATGTGGCCAAAAACTAAATCAGTCCAACCACCTATAGTTGTAAAAATGTCTGCTGTCTGGGATTCAACACAAAACAAATACTCTACAGTAACATACAACTACAGTAGCACATGTTAACGTCAGTATTCAACCAAAGTGAAGCCTTACATTAGAGTAAGTGGAGTTCCATCAATCCATTTCCACTTGTTCTCCTCTCCTCTGTCATTCAAACCAATCCAAGTGTTTGTCCTGATGAATCCAGAGAGAAAAGTCTGTTCAAGGTAAAGAAACACATTTTTACAGTGGGTTAGTTTTCTCTTGCTGATCACAGGAGATAACAGCAGTGGTAAGTCAGAGTAACAGCTGTTGCATAGCTTTATTTAGCTGATGACCTAAGACATACAGAGTAAACACCAAAATGTCTAAACTCCTGTTTCTGTTGCAGCAACACCATTATCTACATCAGTCTGTACAGTACCTGCTCTTCACGACAGTCTATGACCACCAGGTCTCCTCCTCTGGCTCTGCAGTCCTCTCTGCCTCTGTCCCAGGAACCAGAATCAGTGGAGAAGAAATAACAGGAAGAACTGAACATCCTCCATCCTGTAGGACACGTTTTCTCTGTAACATACATCAGACAAGTGATGATGGGTGTTTCTGTTTGATTCCTGGACAATTTGAGCCCCAACACTTTTGGACCTGACTGATTATTGTTGTAGTTGTTACATATGTCACATGAACAAGACAAGATGGCACCATATAAACTGTCTCTACTACTAGTGATCATGTCATGACTGTGGTGAGTCTCTCTGGGCCACGTGGAACGTTTCTGTTGTTTGGAAACCAGTGTTTACAGTATAACCACCACTGGCTGCAGTGTAACTCTAGTCAGCAGCTTTATCAGCAGTTTGGCAATTTGATGTAACATGAAGGGCTTTAACCAGTGAAGAGAGTCAGATTCGCTGCTGCAGTTTATCATAAATTGAAGTATATAACATTTTAAATTTTGGCTACTAATTCATAACATTGACCCAAAAAAGATCCTATTTCAATATATAATGACAATATAAAGACAAAAATAACTCAAAAGAACACATGCAAGGACTCACTCTGTTTGGACAAACTCAGAAGCCTGTCCCGCTCCTCAGTCATTTCAGTGAGTCTGGCTTGGAGACGGTCTCTCTCTTCAGTCAGGTTGGCTCTGACGGTGGAGAGTTCTGCATCTATGCACACAGAAAGAGTCATCATTGAATTAGGCTTAAAACAAGAACTGTTTCCTGACCACAAAGTTCTGACAGACTTGAAATCATGGTTGGCACTTAACTTTTTAAATCTCAACGAAAATAAGACAGAGTGTGTGCTATTTGGTGACCTGGCGAACCTAACTGCTTCTAACCAGGGCCTGGGCCCCCTAGCTCGACACCTGAAGTCGACTGTAAAAAATCTAGGGGTGATGTTTGATGGTGACTTGAGGTTTGACAAGCAAATCAACTCAGTTGTGAAATCTAGAATCTTCCACCTGAGGCTGCCAAGCAAAGTCAAGTCATTCCTTTCTTTTAATGATTTTGAGATTGCAGTTCATGCTTTTATCGCTTCTAGACTAGCTTATTGCAATGCTCTGTACTATGGTATTAACCAGTCCTCCCTCACTCGTCTCCAAATGGTGCAAAATGCGGCTGCTCATCTTTTTTTATTTTTTTTATTTTTTATTAATCTAAAGAAGGGTTAATGACACAGTTCAAATCCCCACCTAGTATCAAATGGTGAGTATTTAGCAAAGGGAGTTTAGCAAATAACCCATTGACAAAAGTTGGATCATCAAAGTTAGGCGCATATATGTTCACCAACAATACCGGGCAATGGTAAAGAGTGCCCACAACAATTAAATACCTTCCGTTTTTATCTGCTATTATCTTAGAGGCGGAGAACATGATTCTTTTACTAATCAAAATTGCCACTCCTCTGGCCTTAGAATCAAAATTTGAGTGAAAAATGCTGCCTATCCATGGACGACTGAGTCTGATCTGATCTCTATTGCGCAAGTGAGTTTCCTGGAGAAAGGCTATATCAGCTTTTAAGTGCTTCAAATGTGAAAATATTTGGGATCGCTTAATTGGATTATTCATACCTCTAACATTCCAGTTCACAAATCTGATGTCTGATCCAGCACCTGTACAATATGAGTTATCGTCGTTCATCTACGATACTGCTTGGAACCCCAAATGATGGGAGCAACTGTGCAGACTCCAAGGGGAGTCATTCTCAAAATTGAGATGCTTTCGACTAGTAGCTAACAGTTCTAGAACACTAGCACCTGCAGTAACTGAACTGTGAATATAAAATACAGGGCACTTTAGGTTAACAATCTTTGCTGTTCCACCCAGCGCCACTTAATAAAGTCAAAACATTAAAAGATTTCCTAATCTTTAACCCGGCTTTTAAAACAAACAAAATATTGATAAGGTGGAAAAGAAAGAGAAAAAAAAATTAATTATAATAGTTCTAGATAAATACAAATCAATAAAAATGTCGGGTTGAGGTTTAACAATGCAACAGTAAACCAGGCCTAAAATGAATAACAAATTGTGAAGTGGACATATGGAAATAGAAATAAAAAATAATTAT